ATCGTTTGTCTTCCAGAGACAAGAACGTCCAAAGCTCCAGGAGGTGTATTTCAATTAGAATAAGAGTAGAACATCGCTTTCCAAATCTCTCTTCCTATTGAACATGGTCAAAGTGGGGAGTAGGTGACTACATTTTGCTGATTCGTCAAAGTTCTCAGTCTTTGCTGTATATTCATACTATTATTAATGAGGGAGAAGGGGTTTCAAATATTCACACTTGAAGCCCCTCCCTAGATAGCCCTAACCCAGGCTCATTAACTCAAAAATCTCCAAGAGTGGACCTGAGACTTCAATATTTTGTAAAAATCCCCTCCAGTGATTCTCATATGCCAGCACGGTTGAGATTCACTAATGAGAGGTTTGAAGAGATGAAAATTAAAACTAAATCTAACTCTGAAGTTCTCAGAAACCAACCTGACCTATAGAAAAAGTGTTTGAATCCTTATCGTGTATGTACAAATCAAATTCTCTAACTCACATCAAACGCAAGAGGGATGATGAAGAAAGCAAGAAAAAAAAATATCCACAGCACTAGAAAGTAAGATTTATTTGTCATAAATTCTTGTGTGCAATTGTAAATTTTGTAACTTTAGATTTATGGAACTGTCAAGAGACACAGGAGGAAAGAAATACGACATATGTTCAGCCCTATAAGGGAAAAATTCATGACATTTTCCAGGTTTGGGCCATTAAAGAAATTTTTGTGAGAGAAGGTTTCTGGAGTAGAGGCCAGATGGCTCCGTGGTTGGTGGAGTTATTAATGTGACAGAGATATTTTTCTAACATCATTACGTTCCATAGAGTTGTCAATGTTCATTTGTTCATTAAGGGGAAAAAGTGCCCAGAGGTTCCCTTAACACTATTAATGATTAAGTTTTTAGCAGCCATAATTAAGTTCCAACATAAATCTTATTGTTAATCTAAAGAAATAGAAGATTTAAGGTAAGAAAAAAAATCAGCTAGAAATAATTTAAGATGACAAAGTGAATTTCCATGTAATATTTAATAAGTGTTTTAGAGCATGCATACAAAAATCAAATTTCCATTAAATTAGCAGGTGTTGAGTGCCCACTATTTGTGAACAATCTTCACATTTATATTATTTAAAGTTGACCAAAGCCTGCCGAAATCAGTTTTATTATTTTGAGTTCACAAAGAAAACTGAGAATTAAACAGATTAAATTTTTATCAAGGATATAACATTAGTCACATCCAAAATGAGGGCAAATGTTCAGGTATGAAGGAAGTAAAAATTGCCCTTGAATGTTCTTTCCCATTATTCAAGAAATACACATAACATATGGTTTGGACTACACCCTGTACATAGAAAATTTGCACACAGAAGTTTGAGCACCATGAAGAAAAAGGGAAAAAAAATCAAAAGCATTTGCAAATGCTTGGTGATTTAAAATATGTCACTTAACTCACCCATTCACACCACATATGTATACACACTGCTCTCTGAGGTAAAGTGAACACCTCATGATGGCTGAGAGGATGGACGGTAATTTCTGGACTCAGCAGGATTCCCCAGCAGTTAGCTTCATGATAGAGCTAACCAAGATACATAAAAGTACGAAAGCAAGCAAGGCGCTGACTCGTTCTTTTAGATAAAGCTCTGAGTATCTGGGGCGTATTGATGTAGATATTCCTAAACACTGCTCATGTTTTTAAAATAAAATGAACTCAGAATTTATTCAGTGTACCTGGCTGCAAGACCCATCACATGCGCCCACCTGTGGTTGGCCAACATTGAAGTGAGCGTGAGTCTCACTTGATGCTGGTTCTCAGGAAGGTATGAAGTCATGCACCCCGTGGGTGGGGAAGTCTGGGGTACCAGCATGGGAGAGTTGCCTCATAATAAATGTAAACTGTGTCATAGAGTCTATGCAATAAAATGTGTGCTAAAAGAACTAGAATATTTTTATTTCCACACTTGTACCTCATCCCGCTAGATCACCATATCTTAAAACAGGTTACCATTGGTGGAGAAAAGATCCAAACTCCAGAATCCAGTAGTTTCGTTATCATTGTTTTCTAATCAACACAGCAATTAATCTCAAATCAAATGATTGTTTTTTTAAAGGAGAAAGTCCAAAAATTTTTTGACTCTATTCAATCCTAATTAACTTATCGCTTACTTGGATTGCCTGCAGGTCTTAAAAACCTCACCAACATCTAATGAGATGTGAAGTCCAAGCATTTACAAGTGAAAGTGATTCAAATACCACAGAAATAGGTTACCTGCTTTAAATAAGTTAAGGTTTTGCCTAAGAAAAGGCAGCATAACGGGTTAAAAAGATTTATTCATTCCTAGGATCTACAAACCAAAGAGGGAATCTGTTATTTATGCAAAGATAAATATTTGGTTGTGCAATTGACTGAGTCCAGTTGGCTTCTGGAGGAGACTCTCTCCCCTCCTGCAGCTTTTGCTCTCCCATTGCTGGTCTATTGATCAAATTGAAAGATAAATGGAGTATCAAGAAAACAGGAGCAGCTGAGCCTCTGGCATCATCCCAGAGCTCTGGGACCATCCGTGGCTTTGGATCAGACTGACACAGCTCGGGCTTGCCTCTGTCCACTGCTTTTCAGTTACCCCTTACTGCCCAAGTCAGGACAGAGAGACGCTGGGAGAGCCAACAAGGCCCGGGGCAGATATCTCTGAAGAGAACCGAGGAATTATTTACAGCACTCGGCTTCCAAGGGCTAATGTGGCAAGACGAGTACAGAGCAGCTTTGTGCAGAAAATACCGAAATTAGTAAGAGGCTCTTAAATATTAACAACCCCTAAAAATAACTCCAGGTGGGAGAAAGCAGAGGAAGCTCTGAGACCTATTTTCCACTTCAGCAGAGGCCTGGCTAGAGAAATGGAATGCTGATTTCGTAACAAAAGACATCTTATTAAATTACACGAGGGCTAGCGTGTTGCTGTCTGCAGGTGTGTGCCTGGCGGGGCCTCCAATACCTACTGCCGTCGCACATGTTGTTATGAAAAGTCAGCCAGCATTTTAGGACAAGTGGCGCAGATGTCTTACCTCCTGGTGGTTGGTGAGGGTTTGTCTTCGTTGGGTCTTTTCAATAAGAGCTATAAAGACTTCTTTGGAAAAGTCTTTTTTTTTTAGAAATCAGTAGCATGAGTGAAAAGTCAAAAAGGCAGATCAGGATGTTTAAATATAAATGCCTATTGGATATGTTCAAAGGCAAACTTTTGTGATGTGCCTCTAGGCTCTCATCTTCAAGGCAAAGACATGCCTTGGAGGAAGCTCTTGACTGTTATCAAAGCCACTGGGAGTGCCTCACATGGAGAACCTCGCCCTTGCACTTGAGGGTGACTGGCTTGCAGGCTGAGTGTACCCACTCCCGTTATAAATCTGATCATCAAACTGAATCCTCCTTCCTGCTGCCTAGGAGGGGAGTATTTAGTACATGTTCGTTTCCAGGATTCCTCATTATGATTTAAGGATATTAAAAATCAATAGGACAAAGTTTGAATAAGGTGATCCTTATTGTTTAATCCATGCTACATCACTTTAGATTTAATGGCATCTTAAGCCAAAAATGGAGAATTGAAGGCAGAAAATAGAATTCAAGAAAGAGATTTTTTTGTGACCTTAAGAAAAGAAAAATTGGGCTTCGACTTTGGCAGGAGATTGTTTATTCATGAGTGGTGATTGTACTCTCAGCCTTCGATGCTGAACAAGAGGAGGATGAGATGGTTTTGAACTTGCTTTGGAAAATTTACATTTTCAGTTCAGCTTTAGGTCATTGTGAGTTCTGAAGAGTTCCTCAAAATTAAAGTCTGGGTGAACACAGGGGTATAAACCCATTTTCAATTTCAGGAGATAAATCTTTTATGGATACATCCCTTCCAAGCCCTTGGAATCAGCTAAGGAAAAAGTGAACGCAGTGCAGGATAATCAGGGAAAGCAGGGCTGATTAAGATGGAGTAAACACACTCCACCCTGATGCTAGCTCTGATTGCAACTGAACCTTGGACAGAATATATAAAGCAGTGACATGAGGACTCTTGAAAGGCAGGAATAACAAACAGACTGAAGAAGGAAATCAAAACTCTAACAACAGCCATACACCAGTGGGCTCCCACTGTTTCTTTTACCTTATCTCCTGGCTTGTGGTCAGCTGACCTCCCAGAACTATGCAGCATAGATGGACAGAAAAAGCACAAGAAGACCCATTGTGTCAGACTACCAGAAAGAGAGGAGCCTGCAGAGCATGGGTCATAGCTCTCTCTTGGCTTTCCTCCAGCAAGCTCTAGCATCAGAGCTTTGGCAGAAACAGTGGGGCAATAATTGCAGTCACAATCCTGAGCTCTCTTCCCCTGCCAGTCTGTCTAAGGAATACCCAGTCATGGAAAGCATGCTCTTTCCAGCCAAAGGACCAGTAAAAGGGACCCCTGTGAGCTGAAGATTATGGTAGGTGCACTTGTGGGACTGATTAAAATAGCACAGCATAGTCTTAGAAAACTAAACTTGCATTGGAAACATAGCCTTTAAAGGAGGTTTAGAACTTGGGATCTGAAACTTACCATGTTAAGTACATGCTAAAACTAAAAGATAAAAAAAAAAATTCCAGGAGATTTTCATGGGATCTCGTGACTCCCAGTGTAATATTCAAAATGCCCAGAGGTTAATCTAAAAGTACTTGGCATCCAAACATCAGGATAACCTCAACAACTCTCTAGAGAAAAGACAATTGACATAGGCAAATACCAAGATGATCCAGAAGCTGTAACTTTGAAACAAAGTCTTTAAAGTAATTAATATAACCCTGTTTAAGAAATAAAGGTGAATATTCTGGGAACAACAGGAAAGACAGAAGTTATGACTAAGAAACATAACAATAAAGCAGAACCAAAAGGAAGTTTTAGGAATAAACATTACAATAAGAATTGAAGTATTTTAATTAGAGGGAAACAATGATAGAATGGTGGAAATGGAGAAAAGAGACAGTGAAGTTGCAGATAAATCAGCACAAATTACCCAACCTGAGCAACAGAAAAAGAAAAAATAAGAGACAGAAAAAATGAATGTTTGGGATAATATCAAGTGGTCTAATGTTCTTATCCTTGGAGTTCCAGAAGGAGAGGAGACAGAAATCAGTGCAGAAACAAACAAACAAACAAAAAAAGAAATAATACCTATAAATTGTCCAAATATAGTCAAGGAAATATGTAAGAAATCTGTGAATGATGAACAGGATGAACTCAGAGAAAACTAAGATCATACTCATCTTAATTAAACTGCTAAATAGTGAAGTAAAGAAAAAATGTTGAAAGCAGCCAGAGGAAAAAAACAAGGTACATTAAGAGATTAATATTTGAATAAGTGCAGTGTTTTCAAAACTCATAAAGACTCTCTGTGATTAGCTTATCTTACTTAGCATAATGTGTCCAAGGTTCATCCATATTGTCACATATGGCAGGATTTCCTTCTTTTTTAAGGTTGAATAGTATTCTATTGTAGGTATATACCACATTTTATCCATCCATTCACCTATCCATGGACACTTAGGTTGTTTTCACACCTTGGCTATTGTGAATACTGCTGCAGTGAACATGGGGGTGCAGATATGTCTTCAAGATCTTCGTTTTAATCCTTTTGTAAATAAACCCAGAAGTGGGATTGCTGAATCATATGGTAGTTCTATTTTTAATTTTTGAGGAGACACCATAGTTTTTCATAACAGCTGCACCATTTTACATTCCTACCAACAGGGTACAAGGTTTCCAACTTCTCCACTTCCTCACCAACATGTGATATCATTTTTTTTTTCATAATAGCCATCCTAACAGCAGTGAGGTGATCTTGTGGTTTTGATTTGTATTTTCCTAATGATTAGCGATGTTGATATACCTGTTGGCCATTTGAGTTTCTTTTTTGGAGAATGCTGCGTGATTTCACTTATATTAGGTATCTAAAATAGTTAATCTCAGAAGCAGAGAGTAGAATGGTTGTTTCTAGGGGCTGAAGGGAGAGGGAAATGGAAATTTGCTATTCAACAGGTATAAAGTTTCAGTTATACGAGCTGAATAAATTCTAGAGGTGCTGTAAAACATCATGCCCATAGTTAACAATACTGACTGTCCATATAAAAATTTGTTAAGAGGGCACATCTCATGTTAACTGTTCTTACCACAATAAAAAAAAAAAATCATAAAGACCAGAAAACTTTGGAAGAACTTTTTTAAAGTTCTGAAGGAAAATAGCTGTTAAACTAGAGTCCATGTGTAGCCAAAAAATGCCCTTCAGGAATGAAGCCAAATTAAAGACATTTTATTTCAAGGAAAACTAAGATAAATGGTCACCAAGATCTACTTTCTAAAAGAAATTCTTCAGAGAAAAGAAAAATAATAACAGAGGAAAATCTAGAATGTCAGAAATAAAGAAAAACAGAAATAGTAAATATTTGGGTTAATATAATAGATCATTTTCCTACTAAGTTCTTTGCAGTAAAGAAGACTGTTGAAAGTAAAAATAATAACATTGTCTGAACATTTTTTAAAATAAGTTTTATTTTTAAGAGTGGTTTTACATTCACAGTAAAATTGATGGGAAAGTACAGAGATTTCCCATGTACCCTCTACGCCCCCACACATGCATAGCTTCCCCCATTATCAACATTCCTCATTCCACACCAGAATGAGACATTTGTTAAAATCAATGAACCTACATTGACATGTCCTTATCACCCCAAATCCATAGTTTACATTAGAGTTAGCTCTTGGTGTTATATATTCTATGGGTTTGGGTAAATGTATATCGACACGTATCCATTGTTATAGTACCCCACAGAGTAGTTTCTCTGACCTAAAAATCTTCCCTATTCTGCCCTTTCATCCCTTCCTCCCCTCCAGCTCCTGGCCATCAATGATCTTTAACTGTCTTTATAGTTTTGCCCTCTTGCATGATGTCATAGAGTTGGAATCACACCGAATGCAGCCTTTTCAGATTGGCTTCTTGCACTTAGTCATATGCGTTTAGGGCTCCTCCATGTCTTTTCAAGTCTTGATAGCTCATTTCTTCTCGGCATTGACTAATAGTCCATTGTCTGGATGCACCACAGTTTATTTATCCATTCATCTACTGAAGGACATCTCCGTTGCTTCCAAATTTTGGCAATTATGAATAAAGCTGCTATGAATATCCATGTGTAGCTTTTTAAATTGTAATATAACGCATTTCTTTCCATTTTAGTAAAAATATTTGAATTATTAAGCAGAGCATACTAATGTTTCTGATGTACTGAATTAGCAAAACAGAAGTCCATTGCTCTCATTTTTTCTTTTATTTCCCATTTTAAAAAATGTTGCTGTTCGGCACAATTGAAAATTTGAATAAATTTTGCATTAGATGAATTACAACTGGAATTCACTAGATTCAAGGTCTCTTTGTTTCTATAATGAAAATAATTCACTGGTACTTTGTTTGTAGAATTATTTTGCAGTGGTTACAAATCCTTCCTCTTGCTTGAAACTCTATTTCTATATCAATATTAGGCAAGCCAGGGGTGTGTGTGCGTTTCTGCTTATGTCTGAGTGTTAACAAGAGTGAGAAGTTAATAAATAACCATACATAATCTCTATTATCTAGATCGATGCTGTCCATTTGAACTTTCTGTGATGATAGCAATGTTCCAAATCTGCTCTATCCAATATGGTGGCCATTAACCTCAGGTGGCTATTGAGTACTTGATATGTAGCTTTTTGAAGTGAGAAATTGAATATTCAATTTTATTTAATTTAAATTAATTTACATTTAAATGTAAATAGCCATATACAGATAGTGGCTGTTGTATTAGACAGCATAGCTCTTGAGAATATTCCTGTTGACTTACTGCCACATTCCCCCAGGAATTGTTACCAGCTGTTTGCATGCCAATCAGAAAATTGAACATCACATAGAATTTTCTAGCATAAACTTGAGATAAATTGTTTAAAATAGAAATATTTCACGGAAAACATTCTAGATATTATATATGGCATCAAATATGAAGATTTTTCTCTCTGACAGTGACTACAGAATGCAATAATTATGAGCTATATACATTGGCTTTGTATAAAATGGTGTAATTAACATTTTTATATATCCCACACATTATTAACTTAAATTTGAGTGAAAATATATTTCTTAAAAATTTGAATTCACAATAATTTTTCTTAGTTTTACTTTTTGTGTCTGTCTTGAAACAAATTTGTCATTGATATAGTTTCCGTGTAATATTAATATTACTTATATGTTATAAACATATTATAATTACATTGAACACATTATAATTATGTTCATAATTATATTGAACATAATATAATTAGTTGAACATATTATATTAATATTATGTTCAAAACTCAGCAAAATATATTTTACAGTGTATGGCATCTCCAGAAATTAGGAGCAGGAAGGTAAGAGAGAATGCCAAATGCACTTTTTTTTAGTCAGCAATAAGTAGGGTTTCACATGCAGCCTAAAAATGATTTTCTCTTCTTCCTCTTCAAGATAATGAATCTTATTACTTTTCATCAGCAGCAGCAGCAGCAGCATCCAAGATCCAACCGTAAGCATTCTGCAGTACAATCAAGTTAAAGAAGTCCACAGTCACTCCATCAATTAATTTTACTACATTTCATTGATTAGTTTGCTTATGAGTTTGTTTATGTACTTACTAATTGGTGAATTGGCTTCTGTGCATTTGTGACTGGCATTCACATGCATGTATAGAGTCTAAATCCTACCAAGTACCGGGGGTCCTAATTCCAATGGGATATTTTAAACTGTGTAATTTTACATAAAGCGTAGTTTCTGGAAAATTCTGTGCCCCAGCAATGGCTTTGCCTCAGAGCACTAACCTCCACTCAGTGGTTAATCTTCATTACCGCCCTTGAGATCAGGCTGCAATGTTTATATGGCCTCACTGAATTTTGGGGCATAAAACAAGGAAACTACAACCTCCAAAGGTAGTTTGTTTAAAGATTCAGTTGTTTCCAGAGCCGAGATATTGTGGTCCATCTAGTGTTGTTTCCTACAGGGCTCCCACTTCACCTGGACTCCTCTCAGGTGCCGGCATTGCCAGACACTGGGATGGGTTGAGTTGTGTCCCTCAAAAATTCATATGTTGAATTCTTAAACCCAATTACCTCAGAATATGACCTTATTTGGAAATAGAGTGGTTTCTGATGCAATTAGTTAAGATGAGGCCATTAGGGTGGGCCTTAATCTCATATGACTGATATCCTTATATAAAGGGGAAATTCGGACACAGACATGCACACAGGGAGAACACCATATGAGGATGAAGGCAGAGATTGGGATGATGTGTCTACAAGTGAAGGATCGCCAAAGAATGCCGGGAAACCACCAGAAACTAGGAGAGAACCATGGACTAGGTTCTCTCTCACAGTCCTCTGAAAGAGTCAACTCCGCCAACCCCTTGATCTCCAACACCTAGCCCCCATATTTGTGAGACAATAAATTTCTGTTATTTTCATAAGCCACTCAATTTCTGGCAATTTTTAATGATAATCCTCAGAAATGAATACAGGTTTCCCATCTGGCAAAGCTCTGACACATGCTGAGATCCATTGGCGTCCCAGTCTGAAATGGTGATGTCCAGGAATAAGAAAGGGAATTACGTGAACGGTGTCTTAAGTGATCCTTCCAAATTCACATATCTTGCCCTGAATCTTCTCTTCATAAGAGGAGAGATGGTGTAAATTTCCATTCCCCTCTTGGAAATCTCAGTGATTGGCCCTTGCCCCATTAAAACAACCACATTGGCCCTGCAGTGCTAGTTTTATCAATTTAGGGGTCAACTACTCTTATGCACCTCAGCCCCTGAGCTCCTGGGATAGAACACTTGAGGAAGATGTCCTGGTATCCACAAAAATAAGCAACACTTTTAGGCTTAGCTTGATCCAAACAAATGTGTATAGAGACCTAGTCAGTAGTCTAAGGGAACAATTTTCAGAGGTGCAGCTCTTCAATACATGGGCTTATTTC